AGACAGGAGTCCAGGCGGTAAGCACAGCTCCCAGAGCTAGCAGTAAATGTACCCCTGCCATGTTGGAAATCCAGTTGCTAAAACTTCCTGCAGTCAGAAAAAGATAAAGATATCCAGTATATACAGATATACAGATAGACAAATTCAAAGAAAAAACTCTAAGGGTTTACAGTGTGTTTACAGGCTTGGGAGAGAAAAGAAAAAGAATTAAGTGGTTAAAAAAAAAATAGAGTAGCTGGGCATGGAGGCACATGCCTTTAATCCCAGCACTCGGGAGGTAGAGGCAAGCAGATCTCTGTGATTTCAAGGCCAGCCTTGTCTACAGGGTGAATTCCAGGACAAGCACAAATACACAGAGAAACCCTGTCTGGAGGAACAAATAAATAAAGGTAAAAGAAATAGAGTAAAAAAAAGCCACATAAAGATGGAAAATACACAGAGAGTCTGGTACTGTATGTTATCGTGTTGTTTTTAAATTGTTTGATTTCTGAGGAAAGAGCAACAGCTGCTCACAGACATTTGATTATAATGCTGCTGGATTAATCCAACTTATATATTTTTAAAATGCTTTGACTCAAAATTTAAGTCTAAGAACATGTTACTTTTGAAAGGAGATTCTGTTTTTGTTTCCACAGAAAATGAAAAGCTGTGGATTCCTTCAAGACTAATATGGTTTCATCAAGCAAGATCCCCTGAAGCAGTGGCCCAGATGATCCAACATCCAAAACAACTGAAATGGTGCAGCCTCAGAGTACTACAGCCAGGATTTGGCCAGGTTTCTGGGTTTTCTCGGGATCCCCATGGTAATAACAGCGCCCCCAAACAGCAAGAAGCAGTTTGGAGAGAACAAAGAACAAATTCCCAAAAACTGTTTATATGTTTTTCATTTAAATGGGATTGGTCATAAATGGCTAATGATCTCAGTCAATCTCCTTAAAAAATTATTGGACATGCAGGACACACACGGGAATATGGTAATCAAATGAATACTTTGTATTGGTATGGATTTTCGTTTATTGACATAAATTTTAGGTCAATTTTGTGGTATGTATATTTTTTCTCTTGTTTATGTATTGTGTTTATAAATCTTATTTTAAAATGTAATGTATAATTAAATACTGATTATATAGTCACATATAATAGCCAAAATTTACATTAGTTAAGTTGTCTAGATATAGAGATATATTTGAAATGGATAGATAGTATTCAAACCTTTCAAGACCTTCAGAACATGGCATTTAAAATGTTGTATTAGGGTTTTTCACGAATGTGAGACACAACAGCTCCTGACACACCAATTACCTAGAGAGGAAGATGAGCATTAAAGAAACTTGATATGGAGTTGCTTTCAATATGGCAAGACTAGACTTTTGGGCAAGAAACTGTTCTTGCCTGGACTGTTGGACTGTATGCTATATAAATTGGACATGCAGGACACACAGGAAAGTGATTGCTGAATTTGCAAAACAAGATGGGACAATCTCAGGGTTCCTGCTTCATGGAAGAGTCTGCCAGACATTCTGCAAGACACAGAGAAAAATGACTGTCAAACTGCCAATACAGGTGGACAGTTTAAAAACTCCTACTTCACTGAGAAGTCTTCCAGACACACTGTGGCCTATGAGCTGAAGATGAATGCTCCAAATTACAAAAAAACTTTGGGTGACTGTCCAGGCAGTGAGATGTTTCTGTCAACTCTAGAGTTTATACATTATCTTTCTGAGGTTTTTGGTGGAGTTGAAGACAGTTATGGTTATGGTTTTCCTTAGTTATGATAAAAGATAAGTTACATATAAAAGTTTTGACTCACATAGGTAGGATAGATGAGAGAAATTTTCTTTAAATTTTGCCAAAAGTTAATGAACTAAATATTGTTAACAATAGTTCTTACTTGATAACTGTTTTATTATATGTAATTTTACTATTTAAAGTTGAAACATTTCTCTTTTTTTAGACAGAAAAGAGATGTATATGTTTCTGTGTGTGTGTGTGTGTGTGTGTGTATTTCTCTTATTGGTTGATGAATAAAACACTTTTAGGCCAATAGAGGCAGGAAGATAGGCAGGACTTTGAGGCAAGGAGGATTCTGGGAAATGTAGGCAAAGGGAGACTGCAGAGACACCATGTAGTTAAGAAAGGAGTAACAGGTACAAACTGTTCTCTGGTAAGATAAACCACATGAATATACTTAGATTAACAGAAATGGATTAATAATTAAGATGGAGCTAGCCAATAAGAAGCCCTAGCTATCGGCCCACATTTTATAATTAATTTAAATCTCTGTGTGCATATTTGGGGCAAATCAGCAGTTGGATGAGCTGGAAAGAACCTCTGCCATATATGCATGCATACACATTACTAAAAAGAAGAAAAATACATCTTTTAAAGCAAATTATGTCAGAATTAACAAAGGAGATCATTAGAAATGCTAAATGCATGACTTTGGGACTGGGATCCACAAATCTCTGTTGGTGACAAGTTTCTAGAGAACTTCTTATACAACCTAACTTTAGGAAGCATTTTGAATAAGTAGCAAGATCCTAAATGGCTCAGGCTGTACACAAGACCAAGGGAAATCGTCTATGTTTCTATACTGGGCAGAGCTTAATTTTACCTTTGTTTTTGTTTTCAGAGTCTCATAACATCCTAAACTTGCCTGGAACTTCGGATGCCATGCCTCTACATCCCAAAGGCTGGGATTATAGGTGTGTGCTGCCATACATGGGTGTCTAAGAAGACTTCAAGAATTCAGATGGATATCTTATGTAGCAGAATATGGTTATTTTACAATAATGATGTTTTAAAGGTTGAGGATGTACAGAAGGTGGAAACCTTCACTGCAGTGCAGAACCTCTAGGTCTGTTGTTTCTGTAGAGTCCTCTAAAGGCTCAGGGAAGGAGAAGCCAAGCTGTGGAGGAGGAGCCTTCCCAAGAATAGCTAGCTAACTGCCCCATGCAACAACTTTCTGCCTTTCTAAAGGTGTGGGGAAGAGTATTGCCATGCCAGAGATGTCAAAACTCTGTGGAAAGTAACAGAAGAGGTTCAGATAAGTGTGGGAAGAGTGTTCATGATTTTCCAAAGCCATAGACAGAAATGAAGGGATGAGTCCACACCAATGGGCAGTGACCTTTCTTGTGATGTCTTGCGTTTCAGTGTGTATGTTACAGCTCCACATATCAAAAAGTAGTGCAAACAATACATTCTCATAAGATACAGCTATTAATAAGGCTGGTTGTGTTAGTCTGCTTTCTTGCTTTTTATTTTTCTTGTGTGTGTGTGTGTGTGTGTGTGTGTGTGTGTGTGTGTGTGTGTGTGTGTGTGTGTGTGTGTGTGTGTTTGTGTGTGTCCATGCACATGTGTGGGCATATGCAGTTGTGTGGACACATGCATGTCTGTAGGAACATGCATGTGGAAGTCATAGCACAATCTCTGCTGTCTTTCCTCAGACACTCTCCACCATTTTTGTAAAGATAGGGTCACTCACAATCCTGGGACACACCATGTAGGCTGGTTTGGCTGCCCAGAGAGATGAGCGGATCTCGGGACCCATCTCTCTCCACCTCCCAGTGCTAGAATACAAATGCATGTCATCACACCCTGATATTTTCCTATGGGTTGCCGGAAGCAAACTCAGGTCTATGTGTGCATGGCAAATACTTTACCCACTGAGCTATCTCCTCAGTTTGTGTTTATTGCTATCACAAAATGCTTGATGCTAGAAAGTTAATAAAGTCAAGGTGTTTACTCAGTTCACAGTCTGATAGCTGGAAAGTGTAAATATCATGGCAAGGCTGGCTGGTTTGGGTATTCCTGGCAGAATCACAATATATCACAGAAGCCATTGCCATGTGCAGAAGGAAATACCGCCTATAGAGGAGCCAGAGAGGTTCTAGGGCGAGACTAGCCACATATGGGATCTGAGCAGGATCCCACATGTGAAATGATCTGTTCTAAAGGTGATATCCTTCAGGACCTGGTCACTTCCCAGAAGACTTCACCTATAAAGGTTTCCCCACCTTCATATGGCCACACGGGGGACCTGTGGATGATAAACATATTCAAATCATAGAACATACTGACAGCATTAAAAGTCATCAAAGCTATCTAGCTGAGTGTGAGCCATTCAAATATGGAGAAGAATTTTAGAGTCTGTACAAAGTAAATCATCAGGGTGTATGAGAGATCTGCTAAAATATGATCTGTTTCTCCCTGATAGTCTACACACTACCTAGCCTTGTGTGTTTCCAGTATTGATTGGTCCTGGGGACAGAAGATGTCGGTCTTCTCATCTCTAATAAGGGACCCAAGCAGAGCTATTCAGAATCCTGATAATCACTTCTTGGAACAGGAGCCTGGACATCCAGATGTGAAATGGAGACTCAGTCATTTCTCCAGAGCTGATCCACCAACAGAAAGTTACAGTACTGTGGGCACCAGTCTTTCATTGTCTTGCAGCTGTTTTTCAACTTGAAGATGACACCAACAATTCACACATTTCTCCTGACTTTGTTGTTAAGCAAGCAGGTAATATTCTCAACCCACACTCTGTTGGCCCTGCTTTCCCTGATCAGATCTTCATGATATTACTGTTCCCAGGGCTGAGTACAAAGAGAACAGTAGAGGGCATGAATCTTGGAGAAGTCATGTAAAGGTATCAGTAAGGGGAAGGTTGTGTGTGGATGATTATGAGCAATATACACTGATAAATGTATATGAAATAAAATAAATATATGAAATATCATGATAGACCTTTTATTTTGTATGCTGAATAAAATTTGACTGAAGAAATAGAAAAATGTAGTGCCCATAATACAAATGGATCAGAGACCTCAGCCTTGCCTTTCTACAAACCTTAGAACATAATGAGATTGTGTCCATGCAAGTGCCATGCATGAGGTTGAAGGTGACATCTCATGCTGTAGGCTCCAGACAGCACCCAGAACATGCTGATAACTTAGCAAACTTGGCTAGTAACAAAGAACCCTACTTCTTCCTTTCAGGTGACAGGGCAGACTGAGTCTTCCAATCTGGACATGGCTCCCGATGCATTTGATGATCAGTATGAGGGCTGTGTCCAGGAAATGGAGAAAAAAGCACCCCAATTGTTAGAATAAGGCTTCAACATGAATAAGGACTTAAAAGTTGAGTGGGAAAAGGCAGAGAAAAAATGGAAGGAGATAAAAAACAAAATGACCTATCTGAAAGGTTTCAGTGATTATCATGGAACAGCTGTAGTGATGTACACGGGAGGTATCTACAAAAAGTTTAATAAAGCTGTTAGAGATTTCAAGAAAGATCCCAGTAACTTTCCTTACAAGGCCTTCCATTACTATTTAACAAGAGCTCTTCAGCTTCTGAATAACAACAAATGTTACACAGTTTACCGAGGCACCAACAACAAATTTCATTACAGTGGAACAGGCTCTGTGCGGTTTGGACACTTTGCTTCCTCATCCTTCGATAAGATGGTAGCTACTAAATTTAGTGGTGCTAGTGGGACACTGTTTACCATCAAAACCTGCTTGGGGGTTAACATAACTGGCTTTTCCTACAAACCTGAACAAAAGGTGTTAATTCCAGGCTACGAAGTGTTTAAAGCACACAAAAGCCCAGGAAGTGAAAAAACAATGGACAATATTTCTCTGACCTCCCCGAAAAGAGGGAAAAGCAACTTCAATTGCTTCTACAGCTCAGGTGAGTGTGGGTCTGGGTCTGCCTTTCAAGGAATAGTTCAAGTATCATTTATAGTAATCCTTCCTTACTACTTCCAGAGAAAATTACTCTATCATGTTCTCTGTCATAGGTCTGGAATCACACTCAATTGTAATTTGCTTCAAGCATCAGTGTCTCTGTGCTTCTTGGCAACTATCCATATATCTGTGCTTCAGTTTCCCCACTTGATTGATAAAGACTCAAATGACAAATATTCTAGTCATATTGCTTTGAGAATTTAAAAAGAAGCATTGAAGACATGACTTGGCATATAGATGTCATTCACCAAATGCCTTCTGTTTTTAATTATGAAGACCTATTTACACATCTCAGCCATCAAATCCAAAGTCATGCTGGAGTAGAGCTCCACATTTACAAGAACATCACTTGCTTACAGTCTAGAGACCTTGTCTCCTACTCCCCTCCACTCAGATATTCACAGTGTCTCCCTTACTCACATTGGACTCCACTCTGTGTTGTCCCAGGAAGTTATGTTTGACAGAGGCCAGGGAGCCAACCTGAAATGAGTTACAGTTAGACTACTGAGTGCTGAGCAACCATATCTTTACTCAGCCCTGACACTCTGAGGGGTTTCTGGAGAGATGAGAAGTCTTTGGAGCTGAAGTGAAACTACAGGAAGTGATCACAGGGACTTCATGCGTTTGCATAGAGAAGTGAAGAGTTAGGATGAAGCCTGAGGAAATCATGACCCCTACCCAGGGGCACAGTACAGCCAGAGAGATGCTGTCCATCTGGAAGAAACAGTTGATATCCAGTCCATGCAGGCTGAGAGCCACAGGTAGGTTCTAGTTCACACCAGCTGACAGAAGGAATCCACATTGCTGCAACAATGGACTTTCAGAAGTTTCAGACTCAGAGACCTCTTCTTGGGTGAAGAAGGAAAAGCACATAGGGCTCCCTAGAAGGCCAGGAAGACTCAGATAGGAAAGGCTTTTCTCCCCAGTCAGAGTCTTAGAGCACAGGACCCTGGAAGTGGTTGAAGCATCAGTTTGCTCTCCTCCTGGTACTGGAGTTCTTTAGGAATCTTGAAGACTCCAGAACTGTTTAGCCAGGCACACTGACCCCTAGTGCTTACTCTCCTGGATGTTGAACTGGATGTAAATTTCTGAACGTTTAGGGGAGACACCTGTGTCTTGAGATATCCCACATGAAACCTTTCCTTGTTTTATCTGCAGGAACCAGAGACAGCCCTGCATTCCTGCTGCTTGTGGTGTTACCTGGCCTCTTGGTTCAACTGCTTCCTCTTGCTGAGCTGTAGCAATCTCCTGCCTACAGTTCACAGGGCTGAGTGTTCATGGGAGGGCAAAGAGCTAGAACTTGGCAGGTTCTCTAAGGTCTGTGGTAGAGGGAAGGAGGTGATAGTTTGGGGGAGATCTACTTTAATATTCACAACTTCCACAGACAACCAAGCAACTTACTGGGTGTCAGTGAAACTTTATTCTGACTTCTTTATTACTTTGCTATGGTCAAAGAGCAATGCTCATCTATATTGTCAGCAGTAACAATTTTAAAGCATGCATTATGTGATGAATTTTACAACCTAGTGAAATAAACTGCCTATAATCACACCTTGATATCTGTGACTTGGTATTTCTGTAGACTGTATTATTTGTTTGAGAAACTCTCCTAAGCATGAGGTCTGATGCTCACACTGATACAGCTGAGAAAGTTCATGTTGTACATTTGTCACAGATGCTCCTGCAGGACAAACTGAATGGGACATACCTGTAAGGGATGACCTAGATAAAGTCCTGCACTTTAAATATCTACTTATATTGGAAAAAGAAACACCGTGGGAGATTATGTTTTGAGATATGTATTACAGACCACAATTCTATGCATACCTTGTTCCTAGTTGCCAGGAAGAAGAGTTCCATTGCAAAAACAGGGACAGTAAAACAGAGGTTTCCTGAAAAGATGTGGATGAATGTATAGAAAGAAAGCCCACTCCCTAGAAATGCATAAAAAGAAAATGTAATCCAATGGCCATAAAATTTAAAAACTGGGGATTCCATAAAATAGAATATGGCCTTTTGGAAACACAGAAAACCTACAGAATCAGACTCCAACCCACAGGAAAGGACCCTGGGGATAGAGTTAGCCATTCCCAGATTGAAATGGTCAGGATTTCTGGTTATGTTTAGACACCCAGCCTCCATGTTACATAGAAATAGGAACTAACCAGACAGTCAGTCTATAACTGTGACGGGGCAGGTGGTGGCAAACCAAAATAAAAATATGGGACGCTGACAAGAGCCTTAAACTTGTCTATTACAGAAACACCTTTTTTTATTAGGCCCCTCCCCATGTGTCCAGAGACAGAGTGCATCCCTTCACGTGGGTTGGGCTCTCAAAGTCCCACACACACACAAGGGAAAAACGCCAGTCCACCTCTGGAGGCTCCCCGGAGTGCAGGGGCCTCCCCATTGGCATCCATGATCAGGGGGCTGGATCAGTCCTGTACTAGCCTCCCAGACAGCTGGGGTCGATATGCTTTCCCTTGTTCAGGCCAACTGTTTCTGTGGGTTTCTCCAACCTGGTACAGACCCCTTCGTTCTTCATTCCTCCCTCTCTTCACCTAGGTTCCAGATTTCAGCTCAGTGTATTTCTGTGGATGTCTG